TGGTAATTCGATTCAGGTTAGATGATCCAATTATTAAGGTAGATTTCTTTAGAGCAGGTAGTTTCCATAATGATTTGTCCTTGGTTTGGTGATAATACGGTTTGGTAGCGGATATAATGGTCGTCGACGGTGTGATTAGTACTGGTTTGGTAGTTGTTAGAATTGTAGCATTGGGAACGGACTGGGATCTGGTTCGAAGAGGGGAAGGTCTGGATACACGTCTCGACTTGGATGGAGACTGAGGGGTGTTTTGCTGGTCCAAAAACGCACAGAAGGAAGAAAGGTTGGCGGATCCTGGATCACGTGGTGAAGATTCAGATGGTGTGGAAGGGGAAGACGAGTCTGAAAGTGAAAAGAGAAGGGGTGTGCCCTCTCTACGAGAGCGTTTACCTATGTCTGCTGGACTAGGAGTAGGTGAACTTCGGGCTCGTTTGGTTTGGTTCGGCAGCGTGGTGGCTCTAGATGGTGCAGGTGTAGTGTCCATTTCAGTTGGTAGAGATATGGTTACTCTGGTTTTTGTTTCGTTGATTGTTTGGTAGAATTTGGAGATTACAGCTTGAGTGAGACGTTTCCCATAGGAGCGACGGGCCCAGGACAGGGCATGAGAAACGATGCGGTCGACGGCAGGTGATGATAAAGACTTGGTACGAATGGTGGTCAGCTTCTCTTGAAGTGTGGTTTGGTAATGGTCGATCAGGACCTGCGTGACCTTACAGAGCCATGTCCGATTGAGGGATCTAATATTCGCGTCGACAGCTGATGTTTTCATTGCTGGACGGATAAAACTATCCAACTCAGAGACTTTGCGTTTGAAGGTAAACGCTGGTTGGCCTTGCTGTTGAAGGGTAAGGATTGCCAAATGATGGAGGCACTGCAAAACTTGGAAGAACACCTTCAAAAAGGGTTCTTCCTCCTTATGAGTGGGGACTGGTTGGCGTCGGTGGGCTGGTAGTCGTTTCTGTTGTTGGTCAGGTCGATGGTTACCTCTTGATTGGTAGGCTGTGTTGTAAGTAGGTCGGCGATGGGGTGGGATATAGCTGGATGGGTTGGTTGGTGGTCGGCGATTGGTAGGTGGTAGAGGTCGATGGAAGACAGGGCCGTTGTAGGGTACGTGATATTGGTTTGGTTGACGATTAGTGTTTCTAATTCTGGCTTCTTGCCAGTGGTTGTTGTAGTTGGGGAGCATAATAAAATAA